CCCCCAGATAGCAAGAAGACGTTGGGCCAACGTTGGCACGGTTGGCATTTGGTTGGCATTGGCATGCCACCATTGGGCCAACGTTGGGCCAGCGTTGGCACTTTGACGTTGGCCTGCCGCCGTTGAGCCAACATTGGTCCAACGTTGGCACTTTGACGTTGGCCTGCCGCCGTTGGGCCAACGTAGGACCAACATCATCAATATGACGTTGATCCAATGTAGGGCCAACGTCACTATCAAAACTTTAAACTTATGTTCAGCCAGCATTTTTTATGGTAAACCGGTGTAAGACAAATATTTGGTGATATTTTTTATTTATTTTTTGACCAGTGAGACATTTGGTCAAAGTTTATTTTATTTCTATACAAGAGTGGATAAGTATATCTCTCTCTGTCTCTTTTTCTCTTATACATATTTCTGGGGTATATGTTTTACTTAACCTTAGGGTCCAATTTCCTCTCACTTGACACTTTTCTTCAAAGACCCTTCATCAGTGCACTATTTGTTTGATATATTATCAATTATATGTTTGAATTAGTTTTAAAATGACAATGTCCAATATTATTTAGGTTATAGGGTGTGCAAAAATGTTTCTTCCCCTCTCCCTCCCAACTAATTAATTATTTAGAATACTGTATTTTTGTTTTGAATAACTTTCTGGAGCAGATTGGCATTTAATTTACATCAAGAGACCCTTTACTTCATGACCAACTTTTTAATTTTTTTTCTGGATAAATACTTAATTTGTGGAAAATTCTTCTTTAAATAAGACTAGATAAGTTACTTCTGTTTTCTTGCATTTTGTCCACTGTTCTTGTCTACAATATAGTATATCATTATCTATTTTACTTTTATATCTTTGTGTGACTGTACAATATTTAATAAAATATGTGAAATGAAAGCAAAAATTTCCTGTGATAATTATTTTTTTTAATATGGAAGTTCTTTATTTATACAGTATCAAATATTATTCTGTTTTTCTAATACGTCTATTTCTATGTTGCTCTATATTTATTTATTTATTTATTTTTAAAGAGCATACATGTATGAAGCTAGCATGCAAGCTAAATTGCAACAGTAACTGCATGGTTATTTTAACTTTGTTACAACTCTCCATTTAAAAAGAAAGTCTTTTCATTCATTATTCAATGTTTATTAATTACAGAATTAAAGCCCTTATGAACTGTACATGTTACAATACTTTATTGAAACTGAAATGAAAACAAAATTTTCCAGTGATGATTTTTTTATTTTATTTTGCATAAGGTGTTATTTATACAGCATCAACCTTACTAAAATTTGTAAACATTTGTCCTTTAACACCTTACATATCAAACATTATGGAATTCCTGCAATTTCATCATATTTAAATTGCATGTAGTTACTAATTCATAATTTAAATGTATATTTATTTTTAAAAATGAAAGTCAACATTGTATGATCATTCCATTTCAATTAATTTAAAATAAATTACATATGCAAAAAATGTTTATTTATTAATCTTTGTTAAGTTATGGTAATGTCCTTTTCAAGTTATAAACAAAGTAAACAATTTCTAAATTTTACAACTTACAGGAAAGTATGACCAATGCACTGTTCCCAGTTTTCACAATTGGCATGGGGAAAAAAGTAGTCTGCATGGACTTTCCTATAATATTTATTGACCAAAAGTGCAATGACAGTATACTGCTTTGTAAACTTTTACTGTCTTACAGCTTATTCCACTCATTACTCAATGAACAGATTTCATAAAAGAATATCTTATTTTAATTATAACAATCTTTTGACCCATTTCTAACAAAGTTACTGGAGAACATATGGAAACTAGTTTAATTTTAGTCTTTCACACCAGTACTACAGTTGATTCAAGTTGCTTAGGGACCATAATAACCTACTCAGTACACCAATAAATCAAAATATACAGAAACATTGACATGATAAACGCTACTATTAAAGTGAATCTTTTTCTTTCAAGGCATTGACCATATAAACAAAAAGTCTTAGCATACGCAATAAGGTCACGGAATTTAGTCGTCATCGTAGCGCTGCCGTCCAACTTCGTGCCATTGTGAATGTTGACCAGTTCAATTAGTTACAGCCAAATTTCCAAGTCATTCATATCACCTACAATGCGTGTGTCCCTGGAGAAAGATAATCGTTTTTTGTCGATATACAACAGTAAGACCACTACCTAGGAGTACCACATCTGCAAATGTTTATTTTTAGAACCGCCATTTTTTTTCACTGATGCATTATGGGTACACCTCTTTCGGCACAGAAAAACCGCCAAAAGATATTCAATTTCGCGCGTCACCTTGACACGGTAATTGCTTCCTCCTCTGACAAGTAAAAAAACGACCATCATCTATTAAATAAAATAGTTTTAATATATTTCAATGACGCTCTTATCACGACTCTACTAATTAGTAGTAAAAAAAAAAAAAAAAACACTGACCGTCATGCATCACGCATTGCATTATCGTCTGCTCTTACCGAACCTCCACGGAGAAGCGGCGGTGCCTTTGAGGAGCGGGGAGCATTAAAGGTGAGAATTACATTTGATAATTTTATCATAGCCGATTTCCCCCACAAGAAAAAAATTATATAAGTAGACTATAAGCATCTGTATAAATTTTTATAGGCAGTGCAGGGAAGGATTTTTTTTTTGTTGTTGTTGTTACCGCTTCTTTGAATCTAATGCGCACTCTGGAGCAATTCCAAGAGAAACGCATTTTTTAAATATATATATATATTTTTTCAATTATTACAGTCGTATAATTTTTGCCATTTTTTTGTTTTACTTTTTTTCCTTTCATTTCTTAGTGTGAGGGGAAAACTTTGTCAGACAAGGGGAGAATCACCCACAAACCAATAATCATATTTTTTTTTAATTTCATTAATTATGGCATTTGCCATCATTATAAAAAGCAACACAAATCTTAAAGGTCTTTATTCAATAGATCAATAATGAAAAATAAATAAAAATAAAGTTATGAAAGTAAATTTAAACAATTTTTGTAAGAACTTCAAACTCATACTGTTACTATCTGATGTATATAATTATTTGCAGTTATTTCTCAATTTCTCTTCATAAGTTATGGAAAATATTAATATATCAGTTAAATTGGTTTACAGGTGTGACTAACACTAGAGAAAGTCAGTTTAGTCTCAACCCATCCTCAAATATTTGCTCTGAGTAGCAACAAAATTTGTCTTGACATATTTATTTATGATCCTCACTTATTGCACACCAACTGATTTGTGATTTTTTTAGTCTTTCTTCCACTTTATTGTGATTTTTTTTTCTTTCAACTTCTAAAATACGCCTCTTCTTCAACCTAAAATGAAAAATAGGTATTGAAAGTAAATTTTATGTCAATCCTTAGAATTATTCTTGTTATTGAAAAATAATAAGAAAAACAATTTGCTTTTCATAACGTTTGTGGTGGCAGTGCACAATGTAGGTTTTTGGTCAATTTTGATGCAACATTACATAATGATTAACTGTATAACATGGCATCAAGTTATAATGGACCTTTACAAAATAGGAAAAAAAATTTAAAAAAATAGGAATTCTATCTAATAAGTAAAGGAAAATAGGAATATTTCTAAAAAAATAATAATAAAGTTGGCCTCACAACACCTCTAAAGCCATACCAGTAACACACCTTTAATTGTAGTAAATAACACTATTTAGTATAACAACAATAACTGATCTAACAAATTTACAAACAACAGCATAAACTACTAAAGGCTCTGTCACATTAGCATAAATACGTAGACATATGTATGTACTGTATAAATGTGATCAATTAAATGCAAAACTGTAAGTAATCATAATTTCCAGGATATTAAAAATATATAAGCAGCACCTGGATTTTTTTTCTTTCACATGCCCATTTTCTTACTGAATCTGTAATTCAGTCCTATAAATTTTTTCTGTAATTTCGAAATTCATAAGTAACATGATTTTCCATTAATGGTCACTTGGCATCAGTGCCCAATATAGGACTTTTCTTCAACTTTGATGCAATGTTACATTGTTCTTACCATTATAATCACCACCGATTTTTAATCACCATAATCGCCACTGATTTTTAATTATGCGCTGCAGGTAACACAGACAAATAGAAAATGTGATCAGCACAGGTGTTCAGGCCCATGGAGTTCTTAAAATTGCCAATATGTGAAAACACTGACTTAAGAAAAAATAGGAATTCTCTCTAGAAAATAGGAAAAAAATAGGAAGATTTCCAAAAAATAGGAAAAAAAAAAAAAAAGAAAACTTGATGCCCTGGTATAATACACCAATTTTTGGAAATACAGAAAATCTGATCACCATTCAGCTTCATAAATCAATCTGACAGTCATAACACTGTTCAGGCCCATTGAGTTCTTAAAATTACCAATATGTGAAAACACTGACTTAACAAAAAATAGGAATTTTCTCTAGAAAATCGGAAAAAAATAGGAAGATTTCCAAAAAATAGGAAAAAAAAAAGAAGAAAACTTGATGCCCTGGTATAATACACCAATTTTTGGAAATACAGAAAATTTGATCACCATTCAGCTTCATAAATCAATCCCATGTTGATAATGGCAATATGTGAAAAATAAAAATTCCACAAAAATGTACAAATTCAAGAAAAAAGCCAATAACACTGCTTTTCCAACTCAGGCTGCATTTAGGTAGTATGTATGGTTTTCTAGAACCTGATAACAACTTATAGCCCATTTTATACCCTGATTGCCTTAAGTGCAACTAGTTTAGAAAGTTTTTGGCACAAAATAGAAAATTCAATAACATGTAAAGTTGGCTGATAGTTCACTTACAGAGGTCAAAATGACTCGGCTGTTTCACAACAACAGATTGAATGCCACAATAAGAAACAAAGTAACAAAGTAGCGTGGGAAAGTGACAGGCAAAGAAATTCAATCCATTTCTATTTCAGCCGTTAAGGTACTTTTGCAGTGGCCCCCACCCTATAACTTTCGCATTTCAATGTCAATTAAAGATTACTCAGAGTCACCACACAAATAAATTTACAAAAGATATTGAAAATCAAAAGTTTTAGTTATATGGTGGGTGATACTGCAAAAATGCCGACTTTCAGTAATTTAAAGTTCACGCATGAGTAATCGTAACCGTATCCTAAACAACGATACAGATTTCTTAACTATTCAATTTTCTAATTTGGATCCTACCTTTTACGAGTTTAGCCTTGAACAATCATATCCAAATGCCTTCGGTAGAACGGCGCCAGTGTTTGTCCATGCGGTAGCGGGTCATCTCATATAGAAAATCTTATTTTGATTTAAAAACTTCAGTAAAATCGGCCGTTCAAATTTTGTTTGACGACAATAACTCCTTGACGACAACAACTACATGCTTTCACTATGACAAGAAATTATCTTCTATTGTCGTGATACTGTAACAACTTGTGTAGACGGCGAGAACACGTCTGTCTTGTGTGCCCGCCTCGCTCAAACTGCCGGACGCAGCCGAACACGTGAAGTTAAATGTAGCAACAGGGCATTGTGGGAAACATATTACGTCAATATACTAAAAATAGAAATTAGTAAATAAATAAGCAAGGTCATTCAGAGTGCAATTTACTATGTTCTGCAGTGAAGGAAATAATAATAATAATAATAATAATAATAATAATAATAATAATAATAATAATAGAGGGGCCATGGGAGGGAAATAAGTAAAATTAGCTAAATAAAAATTGCAAATTATTACATGTAATTTCTTCTTTATGGTGCTCTTCAATCCTAACATTTTTTTAAATTTCAGTCACAGTTCAGAATAAATAACATAATGTTCCTTTTGTTAAGCTAAATACATGTTTTCCATTGTCTGACATTGTTTAAATCCTTGCTCTGAGCCAAAGGCCTTTAAAGCAGTTTTTCATTTTTGCATAAAGTAAATGTAGTCTATTGTATTAAGACATTTGCAATGGTTTGATATGCAACTAGCAACTGAGAAATTCTATGCAGCAAAATTTGCTTTAAACTTAACAGTTGATATTCATGAATAAATACGGGTACCAGTAAATAGAGATTATTTTACTTTATACATGTAGCTCCCCAAATTCTGTTTTTTTTTTGCAATATACAATTTTTTTACTTTGGGAGGGGGCGGGCATGGGAGTAAATACATAAACCTGATAACAAATTATTCATCATTGAAAAATGAATTACTCAATTGCGGTCAACATAAAAATTTCTTCATCACTAATACTTAAAAAAGGCTATTTATATTTTCAGGCTTGATGCCCTGCTCAACCCCCCTGGTTCCCTGTTAAACATTTATTCTGAAATTTATTTGCTACTGATTTCACAGTTTAGTGGAATGGCTGTTAATTGATGACCATTGTTCTTGTCAGGTATTTGCAGTTGAAAAAGTAATTAAGTTGTAAATATATATCATACCCCTGTATATATATATATATATATATATATATATATATGATGGCAGAATCGGGCACTTCATATTGGTCTGTGCGCAGGAGAATTAGAAAAGGAATAGCTATGCATTTAAAAGATTTAAGGTCTCCACAAAATACTTTAAGTGGTGATAACACTGTGGCATCTTATCCTGATGTTCTGACTGAATCTACCTTATATCCTCATCAAAATGTGCAAGAGGAAATATATGAGAGTAGTGACTCTGAATGTAGTATGGAGGTACTCACTCTTGATGAATCGCTTGATCCCGAAATAAAATCAGATTCTGATATGTCTCAAGACAGTAGTCCAAACACTTTGCTGTTGGAAAATTTGAAAGAATGGGCTATCAATTGCAAAGTCCCTGACTCAGCAGTTGGCAAACTTCTCAGGATACTGCATCCTTATCATCCTCATTTGCCTAAGGACCCACGTATATTAAAGAAGACAACAACCCAATATGACATTAAAAGTAAATGTGGCGGAGAATATTTTTATTTTGGGATTGTTCACAGCATTTGCCACCAAATCAAAGATATTCAGAGCATATCAGACAATTTTGTTCTTAGCCTCCAGATAAATGTAGATGGGCTCCCTCTGTTTAAGAGTACTGGTCACAATTTCTGGCCTATAGTGGGGAGAATTGTAAATATTCCTAGCCAATACAGTAAGCCTTTTATCATTGCATTATATTCAGGCACAGCAAAGCCCAGTGATATCAATGAATATTTTCATGATTTTATTGATGAATTTAAACAAATCCAGGAAGGTTTCCCCTGTCATGGGAAACGTTTATTTATTGCTATCCATTCAATCATTTGTGACACACCTGCCCGTGCATTTGTGAAAAATGTCAAGTCTTTTTCTGGTTATCACGGGTGTGATAAGTGTATTCAAGCAGGCAAGTGGGTGGGAAAAATGACTTTTCCTGAAACCAATGCTACAGTCAGAACTGATATTTCTTTTGATGAAATAAAAGATGAAGACCATCACATGGGACCCACCCCTTTATCTCAGCTAAACATTGGAATGGTGTCATGCTTTCCTCTTGATTATATGCACCTTGTCTGTCTGGGGGTAGTAAAAAGGCTGTTAAATCTGTGGATAAAGGGACCATTGTCTTGTAGGCTTGGTAGTACGGTATTGCAAGAAATATCAAGACGTTTAGTGGCCTTAAAAGACAGTATACCATCAGAGTTTGCAAGAAAACCCAGACCACTCTTTGAAATTGCATATTGGAAAGCAACAGAGTTTCGGCAGTTCCTTCTGTACACAGGTCCAATATCACTTTGTGAAATTTTGCCACCAACTGTGTATCAAAACTTTATGATATTATCTGTTTCAATGCACATTTTACTGAATCAAAAGCTTTGCACTTCATTTAATAGTTATGCTCATGAACTGATGGTTGCTTTTGTGAAACAGTTTCTACAGTTGTATGGACCAGAAATGGCCGTCTATAATGTGCATGGCTTGGTTCACCTTGCATTAGATGCCAAGAACTTTGGCAGTCTGGAAAATGTATCTGCTTTTCCCTTTGAAAACTTTTTGCAGCAGTTAAAACACATGGTTAGGAAGCCAAGTTTTCCAGTTGCTCAAGTTGTGCGAAGAATGTCAGAAATACAAAACAATGGAAGTCAACATCATCCAAAGAAAGACTTCCCAATGCTGTCCAAAAGTCATTGCAAAGGGCCACTGCCAGACCCTCTCCAGTTTGGCAGTCAGTTTGGAAAGGCTCAATTAGAAAACTTCTCAATTGATGTAAACGTTAAAGATAGTTGCATTCGTGTTAATGGAAAGACCAGCATAGTGAAAAACATTGTCCAAAAAGATGATTGTACATATGTTGTTTACCAGTGTTTCAAATACTTTGATGATTTCTTTAACATACCACTTCCATCCAGTTACCTTGGCATTGGCAAAGTTTTTGGTTTAGAGAGTACCATTAGGTATGAAGCAATTTCAAAAGTAGAAGCCAAATGTGTCCTTTTGCCATTCAAAGATAAGCAAATAGTTATACCTTACACAGATGCAGTCTGGTAGTCATCTCTTCCATCTCCATGTCTCCAATAAGTAACAAAATATAGTACCAATACATGGTTATGGTTAATAATCCTTTCCAATACTTTTGTTTTGAAGTTCTAATGGAACTTATTTTGATTTTTTGTACAAAAAAAANATCAGATTCTGATATGTCTCAAGACAGTAGTCCAAACACTTTGCTGTTGGAAAATTTGAAAGAATGGGCTATCAATTGCAAAGTCCCTGACTCAGCAGTTGGCAAACTTCTCAGGATACTGCATCCTTATCATCCTCATTTGCCTAAGGACCCACGTATATTAAAGAAGACAACAACCCAATATGACATTAAAAGTAAATGTGGCGGAGAATATTTTTATTTTGGGATTGTTCACAGCATTTGCCACCAAATCAAAGATATTCAGAGCATATCAGACAATTTTGTTCTTAGCCTCCAGATAAATGTAGATGGGCTCCCTCTGTTTAAGAGTACTGGTCACAATTTCTGGCCTATAGTGGGGAGAATTGTAAATATTCCTAGCCAATACAGTAAGCCTTTTATCATTGCATTATATTCAGGCACAGCAAAGCCCAGTGATATCAATGAATATTTTCATGATTTTATTGATGAATTTAAACAAATCCAGGAAGGTTTCCCCTGTCATGGGAAACGTTTATTTATTGCTATCCATTCAATCATTTGTGACACACCTGCCCGTGCATTTGTGAAAAATGTCAAGTCTTTTTCTGGTTATCACGGGTGTGATAAGTGTATTCAAGCAGGCAAGTGGGTGGGAAAAATGACTTTTCCTGAAACCAATGCTACAGTCAGAACTGATATTTCTTTTGATGAAATAAAAGATGAAGACCATCACATGGGACCCACCCCTTTATCTCAGCTAAACATTGGAATGGTGTCATGCTTTCCTCTTGATTATATGCACCTTGTCTGTCTGGGGGTAGTAAAAAGGCTGTTAAATCTGTGGATAAAGGGACCATTGTCTTGTAGGCTTGGTAGTACGGTATTGCAAGAAATATCAAGACGTTTAGTGGCCTTAAAAGACAGTATACCATCAGAGTTTGCAAGAAAACCCAGACCACTCTTTGAAATTGCATATTGGAAAGCAACAGAGTTTCGGCAGTTCCTTCTGTACACAGGTCCAATATCACTTTGTGAAATTTTGCCACCAACTGTGTATCAAAACTTTATGATATTATCTGTTTCAATGCACATTTTACTGAATCAAAAGCTTTGCACTTCATTTAATAGTTATGCTCATGAACTGATGGTTGCTTTTGTGAAACAGTTTCTACAGTTGTATGGACCAGAAATGGCCGTCTATAATGTGCATGGCTTGGTTCACCTTGCATTAGATGCCAAGAACTTTGGCAGTCTGGAAAATGTATCTGCTTTTCCCTTTGAAAACTTTTTGCAGCAGTTAAAACACATGGTTAGGAAGCCAAGTTTTCCAGTTGCTCAAGTTGTGCGAAGAATGTCAGAAATACAAAACAATGGAAGTCAACATCATCCAAAGAAAGACTTCCCAATGCTGTCCAAAAGTCATTGCAAAGGGCCACTGCCAGACCCTCTCCAGTTTGGCAGTCAGTTTGGAAAGGCTCAATTAGAAAACTTCTCAATTGATGTAAACGTTAAAGATAGTTGCATTCGTGTTAATGGAAAGACCAGCATAGTGAAAAACATTGTCCAAAAAGATGATTGTACATATGTTGTTTACCAGTGTTTCAAATACTTTGATGATTTCTTTAACATACCACTTCCATCCAGTTACCTTGGCATTGGCAAAGTTTTTGGTTTAGAGAGTACCATTAGGTATGAAGCAATTTCAAAAGTAGAAGCCAAATGTGTCCTTTTGCCATTCAAAGATAAGCAAATAGTTATACCTTACACAGATGCAGTCTGGTAGTCATCTCTTCCATCTCCATGTCTCCAATAAGTAACAAAATATAGTACCAATACATGGTTATGGTTAATAATCCTTTCCAATACTTTTGTTTTGAAGTTCTAATGGAACTTATTTTGATTTTTTGTACAAAAAAAATGTTGTAAAAGGTCCAAGCCTAGCTGTGTAAATCAGTAGCAAGTTTTTTTTAAGGGGGTGCACTTAAAGAAGTTATATACATTTCACAATTTGTAGAAAAATGGCCTTCATTCTGGTGGAATTCATTGATGGAGCCGATGTTGCAATTATTTCTGAAAAGTGGTTAAATGAAGACAGGAAATCTGCTTTTTGGCCTCCATTCAAAAAGGAAAAAAGCCTTATCTCTGCTATAAAAGCACACCTTCAGCCAGACAAGTTAACCTGGACAAAGTATACAGTGAGAGTGCTGTATGAACATGGTAAGCATGCTTTCAATCTCTGATACATGTTTCATAATTGAAAGAAAGTGAAAGTCACTTACACTACATACAAAAGATAGAAATGCTCCTTAAGTACCTTCTGATCATCAAGCACATCATGCTTATTTCCAAAAAGAGTCATTTAATATTTTAAAGCACCCATCCCCATTGGCAATCCAATGAAGTAGGAGAAAGTTAACATAAATGATTGTCAATTTGTTTGTTTTTTACTCCTTATCAGAGGTTGCATGTTATCTATAAAATTATTTTGGGTTGTAGTGCACATTGCTGACAGAATTGACCTGCAATGTACCATATTGTAGATCAATAACCTAAAAATAATTTCAATTTTCAGATGACTATGACAAAGTTCGGGGTAAACTAAGAAAATCCCAATATGAATCAGACCTACAGTCAGATAGCGAGGTGGGACTGGGGAGGTACAGGAGAACAAAGAGGTAATACTTAAGTTTTCAAAAGACCCTTCAAATATCATTAAATTACATGATAATCTTTAAATTGTTGTCATTGCTTAATACATTAACTTGTGTTAATTTTTTATTTATTTATTTTATTTATTTTTTTTTTTTGAAATTGAGATAACTATTAACTTTTAATCCATAAACATGCTAGGATACCTATAAACATTGATCCATTAATTTATTGCAGATTCATTTATTTAAAAAAACACTCATTTATAACGTATACACACTGTTCTGCTTCAAAATTATAATTCAGTCAGGTCTCTCATTTATAATGTATACACACTGTTCTGCTTCAAGTCTTTAAAAATTATAATTCAGTCAGGTCTCTTTTAACATATTTACTTTTAAGAAAATAAATAAGCCTTAATTTATTGTGAAAGTACTAGTAGGCCTATAATTCAGTCTGTTATTCATGCATTTCATTTTAATAACAGACCAAATCCCAGATATGAGGATACTGATGATGATGATGAGGAGGAGGAGGAGGAGGAGGAGGATGAATCACAGTGCCTTGTCCCTCCACATAAGATAAGAAAAATTCATCAAAATTCAACAAGTTTCACTTCTCTCCCAACACCTCCAAGACCAGCTGGTAAAACATTGTTTGACAACAATTCAAGTAAGCATGAGTGGTAGAATTTCGTATTCATTATACTTTTGATTATTATTTTTTATTCTACTTTTAATATTCTTCTTTTTTTATATGGCATTTAGAGAGTATCTGCATTAAATGAGCACTGTGACATAATGCTTTTACTTCTGCCTAAATTAATTTAATTTTTAAATTGGGATATTTTCCTGCTAGTGATATAATTGATTCAAGAATTGGGATTGGAATTGGGATTATCACTAACTGTTGATATTTAACTGATAAAAAAAGAAGAATATTAAAACTAATTTAATGGTAACAAGGCCTGGAGTGTATTTAAATGAACTAATAAAAAATGGCACCTAGAAGTATCATGACTATATTATTGATGTTACTCCTTATATGCCTGATATAACTGTAATTGATCATTATTCATTTTTTCTTTGATTAGTATTTGAAACAAAGGTAATCACGAGTTTGGAGGAAGTTAAATGTCAAGTGCAACTGAACAGTAAACTGTTACAAAAAGTTCTAAAATGCCTTCAAGAAAATAATCATCAGCAACAACACCAGGATCAGAGTGATGGTGATAATGCCCAGTCATTATTGCCCATCTCCTCCATGGAGGAATTACAGTCTTTTGAGGAGTACCTCCAGGAGGGGGATGCTTTTAGAAAGATGGTAAATATTTATAATATATATGATTTTCAATTTGAACTTCAGAATAGATTTATTATGTAAAATCACTTTTGACCACTGTGCTTTGATTGTTGCAAAATATGTGTACATGAAAGCAAATAAATCAGATAACATAAAGTTATCCCAATTTATACCAAATGATACAGTAGATTTAAGGTATTATATTTACTAATTATATATATAATAAGTGGCGTGTACAGTTTTGTTAAATGCATAAAGCATTAAATATATATATTAAATATATATATATATTTATAGGAAAATGTAAATTATTTCTTTTTGTAATGGATTCTCAACAGTTATCTGTGACATTGATGACTTTCATTGATCAACATTTTCCATCTTGCAGGTGGACTTACTGAAGTGCGTGGGTGGCTCAGACTACAAGTCAACGGTTAGGAATGTGCTTAGCCACATATTCAGTCCATGTGTGGCACTTCAAATTAACTGGCTGGGGAAAGGGGGGAAGATGGGCTTTTCACAGCTAAAGAAAATTAGGCATCTTGTTGAAAGTAAGTGGAAATAAGTGTTCAAATAAAATGTACTCGACATTACTATACAAAACTGCACTTGGTTTCCTTTCTTAATCTAATCTTTCTTTTCTTCATATTTTTTAAATCTAATTAACATTATTTTTCAGGGAAAATGTGTTAATGATGCTTCTTATTACCTAATTTTTTATTCTTTACACCTCGGTTGTGTTGATGTGAAATATGATGATGGTTAAATCATTGATAATCATCCTTTTTTCTTTTATTCCAGCTACTGTAAGGAAAAACAGATTGTGCCCCATGACAACAGAGGCCGAAATCAATGAAACCATAAAATTATGGTTTCGTTATGCTGGAGATAGGAATGGTGGCCGCATTAGGAGACAAAAAAATAGCATGGCCCCATCACCATCAGCTGTTCTTCAAAGCTAAAGTCATCTTGTTTTTTAAATAATATTTTCAAGGTTTTTTGTATGTATTTTGATGATATTTGCCACATAATAGCCATACTATAAATTTTGCTTTTATTTAAAATTTACTGAATTGCTTTGTTTAGTAAAGAGGCTGGTTGCTTTCAAAAATCAGCATGATCTCATTTGTTTTAAGATAAAGATTATTTTTGGCATGTATTTTCATGATGATTAGCCAATATCTGCCAAACTAAGGTTTTATTTTATTTTAGATTTGTGGCTTTGTGTGGTAAAAAGGCAGGTTCCCTTTAAAAGTCAGCTTGATAAGAATATTTTTAGAATAGTTACTGATTTGCTGATTTGTGTAACATTAACCCCATAAGTGCTAAACTGTATTTTTGTGTTACTTCAGATTGGATGAGCAGCTTTGTTTTATAAAAAATGTTTGTTGTTCTTACTTTTTTCTTTACATGTACATAAGTGATATTTTTCCCTGTTTAGTGTCTTTATATCTGCCTTTTTGCTGTGTGGTTTCTTCTGACATACATTGTTCTGTGCACAAAATTCACTGTAGTCTGCAGGTTTTTTTGTTTAATTCACTGACAGTATTTACTGCTGATTTGGTTATATATATATATATACATGTAAATATAACTGTACATATAACTATGGGCCATATCTTAATATTTAAAATGTTTTTTCTTACTTTTTTCTTAACATGTAAATCAGTGACATTTTCCCCCTGTTTAGTGTCTTTATATTTGCCTATTTGCAATGTAGTTTTTTCAAACATACATTGTTTTGTACAAAAAAGTCATTGTAGTCTGCAGTTTTTTTATTCAATTTATTGACACTGTATTTACTGTTGATTTGGTTACACATATATATGGACCATATCTTAGGATTTGAAATGCAACTGNTAGGGCTCACATAAGTAATCCAAAGGCAGCCTACTCTCAATGTTGTCCATGCAACCATTTCAATGTTCTGACTGTTGTTTTTATCCAATCACATTGATGTATTACATTTCCTCACTGAATTCTTGTCAATGTTAATAAATCAAACTATCCTCAGGCATTCTCTTTATATTTTTGGTCACTAAAGGTGGGGTGAAGGGTGTGTCTGTGAGAGAATAGGGGTGGAGGGGGGGGCTTGGTGCAGGTGCACCCACCTGGTATGTACAATTTTCTCCACTTGTGGGTTTCAAGTTTTTACCTTGAGATCAATCATCTTGATCTACACAGTGCATGCATGTATGTATATGTACAGTATATTGATGTGCTGGGTATGTGTGCCAATTGTTGTAAAGTACCAGTATATGAGTATGTGGATCTCTGGTCATATACTATATTTATAAGTAATATAATGTACTGCCTATGTGTGACGGTAGTTGTATGCGTATACCTGTGTATGTGTGTGTATACACTGTATAAATAAATGCAGTGTCTATAAATGCCTGTTTGAGTGTAATATACATGTAAAGTCCTCCATACTTGTGCATGCATATGTGCACAAGTGCATATGACCCTCTGATCATGCTCTGTACTGTATATTAAATGCTTGTTTTATATTTGTAATGTTCAAGCACAGTAGCCTAGAGGTGTGTATGGACCTTGCTATTAACCCCATCCTCAATGCTGTGCTTGCCATTCAGTGGTTAAAAAATAAATAAAAATATATATAAAATATATCTAGGACAAAAAAAAAAAGAAATCTAGGACAAAAAAAAAAAAAAAAAGCAATTCCCGATTGCCCAATGCCAACTTCACAGAACAAATAAAATCTGTCATGAGATACACCAGAAAAATAAATAACGTGTTGTCAGTGAAGGACAATGTAATCTCTGTGCTTAACCAACCATAAGTAAAGACATCAATCTCATCCCTCCATCTCACAACAAACACTAAATAACAAAACTCCATGTGGAAACATTTGGATTCCCCAGCAATGATTTACCTTCCCCCAGGGGCTTTGTAAACATATCATGTTCAACAAACAGCAGAGTTCTCAATTTAAAGACGTAATTACGTGCCTCAGTATGACGTGAGCACTGACAACTCAATTGCATGTTGATACATTATACAAGATGATGGAGGAAGCCACCTTTACAATTAAATCATCTGATCACTTTAGCATACCAGCCATGACCTTACATCAGTTCTCTTGCTCTCCTCCATTTTTGATAAATGAACATGCTGAGATGAATTTGCTCTCTTTTGTTTAAAAGAAACCATAAAAGCCTGCAGACAGCAATTTCAAAGGAGGGGGGCATGATCTTTTCTTCTAAAAAAGTCCATATTAACCCCTTCACAAAGAAACATCAAACCCTTGGATATGCATTTTGATTCAGGGTGGTCCTTTTTTTTGAGGAAAAAGACAGTTTGTCCCAATTTTCAATAACCCCCACTGCCTTTGGACTGCCCTCCCACCTCCCCCTCCCCCCACATCCTACCCCTGCTGCCACCA